AATTTTTGGCAAGTCTTTGAACGCATGCGCTCTTATACCGGAAGTCCAAGAAATCCTGGTCTCAAAAAAATGGATTATGCCAGAGCCCTCCCCCTAGTACGGTGGCCGAGAGCTGACATAAAAAAAGGCAAAATCAAAAATGTCAAAAGTTCAAAAGTCAAAGTGATTTAGGACCATATTACAAAGTGAGTTTGTCTTTTTGATCAATTTCCTCTTGTTATTTTGTCACAAGACATTTTGACATTTCGTTTCAAGCGACTTTGTCGTCCAGCATTTTGTCATGAAAGACTTTCGCTTTTGACATTTCTCCGTTTGGCCTCCGACATTTTGTTTTCAGGCGATTTGTCAAACGACTAAAAGCAAGACAGCGAAAAGTCRAACTCAGATTGAAAGCTCCCAGGCGTTCCTCTTAATRAACAAAGGTAACCCACGCTATATAGTTCGCGTATACAAGCTTGACAGAACTCGAAAGATCATTCATCTGCCAGGCCAGAAGAGCCAGAAGAAACGCAGGCTCTGGGTACGAGATTGCCGTGATCTTAATTTATTTCAGTAGCCTCMTGCGCAGCCGCTGTGAGGCGCTTCCGGCTCCAGTCACTCCCACTAGAATTTTATTGATCGTTACTAGAGTTCCATTCTACAGTACAATTATTCTGAGACAGCAAAATGGACTCGTATTTAGCTCGTCTAAAGGATGATGTCCAGTGTTCTTTGTGTAATGATAGACTTACTGAACCTAAGATCTTGCCATGTTTCCATACATTTTGCAAGCCTTGTATTAAAAGACATGCCGAGCTGATCGAKGRAGTSAACGTCTTCAAGTGTCCTCAGTGTAWMTCACTAACTCCTCTGTCACAACTAAACAGCGTGGAAGATCTAAAATCGAGCGTACTCCATTCAAGGATGTTAAAAGTCTTAGAGTTTATAGAAAGTGAGAAGGTTTGTTCTGTTTCTCAGAGTCATTCAACAGCATCTTGGTATTGTTTTGACTGTAACCGCTCGTTGTGTGACGATTGCGAGAAGAGCCACTCATTGTTCATCAAAGACCACAACCTTTCATCTCTCGCCGAGACGAAAGAAGAAGATATCAAACTGATGCTGAGCAGAGAAAATAACTGYGAACATCACGTTRACAAACTAGTACAGTGGTTTTGTAAGGACTGTGAAAAAGTTATATGCGTAGAATGCTTGAAATATGGCCACGAAGGTCATTTGACCTGTACGTTGTCAAATTATGCAGCAACGAAGAGAACTTTTCTGTCTGAGAAACTCGAGCAGCTAAGAAAGCGTGAGCAAGATATGAAAGCGAAATTCATGGCAGTGGAAATGATGGCGGTTCAATTTAAAGAATCGTGTGAGAAAGCAAAGCTAGAAGTAAAGGGATCGTTAGAAAAGATTGTGGAGATATTACAAAAGAAAGCTYTGGAATTGACGAACCAAATCGATGATGAATTCATGAATGCCGAGAAAATGAAAGCCGAAGGTCAGTGTCTGCTTGATCAACAGCAAGGAATAATTAGTTACTTGAGTAAGCTGTTAGAAAAAGGTATTGCAAGTGAAGTCATTGAGGACAAAGAATTTGAAGAAAAACTAGACAAACCAGATATTTTCCAAGTCGAAGAAAAGGATTATTATGGGYTGACTTTTGTTGCTAACCAAGATCTACTAAGASAAGCGAATTTAGGTCTGGGAACCTTGCAAAAATTAGAASACAAACAGCACMCGATTGGCAGTGCAATAGCTTGCTTAACGGTCAAAGGGAAACAGGATAGTGTTGCAGTTGACAGGAAAACTGAAATAACGATGAAGAATACTAATTTTGGATCAGCAGCAAGTTGTTTAGGAACAATTTTTGGGTCAACACCAACAACAGCAATTGCTTTTGGGTCAACACCAACAACAGCAATTGCTTTTGGGTCACCAGCAACTGCTTTTGGGTCAACACCAACACAAGCAACTGCTTTTGGATCAACACCAGCAACAACAGCAACTACTTATGGGTCAGCACCAGCACCAGGAACTACTTTTGGATCAACAGCAATAACAGCAACTACTTATGGGTCAGCACCAGCAACAGCAACTACTTATGGGTCAGCACCAGCAACTACTTTTGGTTCAAAACCAGCACCAGCAACTACTTTGATGTCAAAAGCAGCACCAGCAATTATTTTGATGTCAAAACCAGCACCACCAACTACTTTTCGGTCAAAACCAGAACCAGCAACTACTTTGATGTCAAAACCAGCAACAGCAACTACTTTTGGGTCAAAACCAGCACCAGAAACTACTTTGATGTCAAAACCAGCACCAGCAACTACTTTGATGTCAAAACCAGCAACAGCAACTACTTTTGGGTCAAAACCAGCACCAGCAACTACTTTGATGTCAAAACCAGCACCACCAACTACTTTTGGGTCAAAACCAGCACCAGCAACTACTTTGATGTCAAAACCAGCACCAGCAACTACTTTGATGTCAAAACCAGCACCAGCAACTACTTTGATGTCAAAACAAGCACGAGCAACTACTTTGATGTCCAAAGCAGCTCCAGCAGCTACTTTGATGTCAAAACCAGCAACAGCAACTACCTTGATGTCAAAACCAGCAACAGCAACTACTTTTGGGTCAAAACCAGAACCATCAACTACTTTGATGTCAAAACCAGCAACAGTAACTACTTTTGGGTCAAAACCAGCAACATCAACTACTTTGATGTCAAAACCAGCACCAGCAACTACTTTTGGGTCAAAACCAGCACCAGCAACTACTTTGATGTCAAAACCAGCAACATCAACTACTTTGATGTCAAAACCAGCACCAGCAACTACTTTTGGGTCAACACCAGCAACAACANCAGCAAGTTGTTTAGGAACAATGTTTGGGTTAGCATCAACAACAGCACCTGCTTTTGGGTCACCAGCAACAAGAGCACCTGCTTCTTGGTCAACACCAGCAACAGCACCTGCTTTTGGGTCAGCAGCAACAACAGCACCACCTACATTTGGGTCGGCAGCAACACCAGCAACAGCACCTGCTTTTAGGTCAGCAGCAACAACAGCACCTACATTTGGGTCGGCAGCAACACCAGCAACAGCTCCTGCTTTTGGGTCAGCAGCAACTGCTTTAGGGTCAACTTTAACAACGGCAAATACTTTGAGGTCAACATCAGCAACAGACACATCTGTATCAGGTAAAAACACACCGCCAACAAATGCACTAGTTTTACAAAAATTTCATCTCGAAAATGATAGTTTTTAGTAAGTCTTTATCACTGTTTCAATGGGTGGTTCCCTCCTTCCAGATTTTTTGTAGTATTACTCATCTTCTTGTGGTTATCTTTTTTCAGCAGTAAGCAATAAATTCAGCTTCGCATCACCTACTGTCGGAACCTTCATGCCCTTAGAACCATGTGAATTTGGTGGCGATACAGGAAAAGAGAGCATTCAGACAAAAGGAATTATCAAAAAGGGATTGCGAAGGATGAAAAGATAAAGACAAACTCAAAGCTATAAATGTCAATCCCCCCGAGTTTCCAATTTTTTAATTGGAAATTAAAAAGACACCGTGATCTTAGCATTTTAGCAACGGAAACTCAACGAGTATCTGGAAATCAGTAAAACTGTGAAGCTTGAAGCTTGAAGAACACAAATTCAAAACTGGCGATATTAATTTTCAAAAACTGAAAATGTTTGTAAAAATGTTCGTTTATAGGAAAGAGATGCCTACTTCCATCAAACATCACAGTTTTACTCATCTTAAGGACGTTCCTGGACAAAAGTTCCCATCGCAAGACTTTTTTAAATTTTACATGGTGAAAGTACATCATGCTAGAATGAAAATAAGCAAATAAAAAAGGGGGTCCCTAATAACATTCTCCTCGATAT